ATATATATATATATATATTCTGAAGAAGATTAATTTAAATTTTTATAAAAAAGAAAGTCATGTAAATAAAAAAATTTTTTCCTTAATTTTTGTTTACGAAATCAATGACCACTGATAGTTTCCGAAAAGGAAAAAAAAATGTTTTCTGTAAATGTCACAACAAATAAAAAAAAAATTATTTAAATTCTATAGATATCAATCATGCATTATTTTGAAATTAAATATTATTTTTTGGAAAAAAAAATAAAAGTTAAAAAAATTTTATACAATAAATGTTTAATTAATGTAAAAACCTATATGTATACAATTTCTAAAAAATATCAAATTAAAGACCAGGTTGATCAAATAAAGAATTTAAAAATCCCACACGACATGTTTTTGGATGAACACTGATATTTGTACTTTTGATTACGCATAAATCTTACCACAGTGGTAGACGAGAAAGGACTTTTAATTTTAATATGCAGTTTTCAGATTTTTTTACAGTCTTTGATTTCATATCTTTTTACTCTTCTGTTTGTTCTCTACCACTTCCAGAAGACTAAGTCATCTTTTTTAATTTTTTCAACTTTAATTCCTTTCGTGGTAAAAAAATAGAACTTGGCCTTTATCATATGCAACAATTGTCCTTGCGCTTAAAATAAAAATCGTGCCTTTTGTTTACTTCAGTCATCCAGGATTTTTCCTTCGTTTTTCTTCCAAAGAGTGAATTTTCTAGTAAGTATAGTTTCATTTGGAAGCAAATTCTTGCATGTTAAAGGACAATTTACTTCAACAATACATTTATTTTAATTTTCATTAAATACTGTACTATTCTGTCAGGAGTGGCTCAAAAAAAAATTTTGCATCAACAAATAAACCACCCTAGCAACAATTTTACCTTGGCCCCAATTGGGTTCAAAATTGGCTCGTATGGGTCTTGAAAGAACCTGCAACAAGGGACAAAATATTGGTATGTCTTGATTTAGAACCTACATTGGCTAAAAAATGGATAAAAAATATCGGGCCACTGACAATTCTATATAGGGCCACTATCGGAAAAATAATGGCCCTTCGAACCCTTACTGAGCCAAGATTCATGAATATTGGCCCAATGACGACCCAAGTTATTTTTCGGCTGGGGCACATTCTTCCACCTTTACATTAACAAATTCTTCTAAAGCTTGTATTTCTGTTTTTTTCCTTCTGCCCACTGTTCATCGTTGCCTATTATTACCTCAGTGTCAAAATCTTAGTACAATATGCATTTAACAGTATTCTTACAACTAGTTGTTAGTATCTTATTAAACACAATTCCAATTTCTTCCTTTCTTCTATCCAAAGTGAGCAATCTCTTTGCAATATTCTTTTCTTTTCTAACATAGATCCTTCTTCTGTAATTTTTTCTTACTCTTTTAGAAATTCAGCTTATTTTGATTTTGTGTCAAACATTTCTTTTGAGATATCTGGCTTCTAAGAATTCAGGTCATACGCATTAGGGGGAAACAATTCCCTTTATCTACATATTTTTTTTTTTGGTTTATTTTTTGTACCCCTTTTTCATTTTGCTAAAGTCTGTTCTCCTTTTTTGCAGAATTTATCTGAACTATTGCTTGTTGTATTTCTTTATGAATTTTGCTGTATTTCTCTTTGGTATTGAAAGTTAAAAAAGAAGCATTCCTCCTCGATTCATAAGACCCTTTTAAAGAAACATTTTATCCTCTTCACCCCGACATGTTTGGCAGTGACAGCATTGAATGATCCTACCACATTATTAGTGGAATTGTAAAGCTAGCTTCTGGCATAGTTATTCAAATTTCCTATGATTTTCATGATTTTAAATAAAATCCCACTTACTTCTAATTCTTGGATATAATTTACGCCATCTCTACCATATCAAAAGTATGAAGCACGGCATGAATGTCTATGAACATTTTTCATATCATTAGAATTATTGTAACTATTTTACTATTTATGTAATATATTATACGCCTGGCATTAAAATATTAATCTTAGACTAAAGAGAATTTCTTAAGCTTTTAATCACTGTTAAAAGTTTGCTAAAAATACTTAAAGTAAGCTTAAAGTTGAAGCTAATCTGCTAAGTTTCAATTTTTTAAAGGTAATGTTAGCTTTAAAAAAGTTTTTAAAGTACTTAAAATTTTCGAACTAAACATTTTTTAACTAAGCTCAATATTACACATTTCAATGTGTAAAATGAAATAAGAAAAAAATTCCGAAGTATTAATCAGTGACTAAGTAAAAATCTATCTAAGAACATCTAATTATCCATACATTAACATAAGAAATGAGGAAAGTAGAATCTAACTACAAAACTTCCTTAACTATTTAGTATTGTTCAGATAATTCTATTCTACAATATACCTAATAATGAAAGTTTAAGATGAAAAGGTTTAAACCAATTAATTTTTACACAGTTTTTTTTATTGAATATATTAAGACACCAATGTATATTCAATAGTAATATTTTAATTAATAAATTTTTAATCTTGTACATTAGTTTATTGGTAATTTCTCACTTATTTAGTAATTTCTTAAGCTTTTAACCACTGTTGAAATTTTGCCAAAAATGCTTAAGCAAAACTTAAAATTAAAGCTAATCTGCTAAATGTTAATTTTTTAAAAATCATGGTAATTTTAAAAAAAGTTTTAAAAATACTCAAAATTTTCAAAGTGTTAATCTTTGTATAAGAGTTTATTAGTTATTTCTCACTTATTTGGTAAAAAGAAATTATACAAATTAAGAAATTATTAAAAAGAAATTGTACACATTAAGAAATTATTAAAAAGAAATTGTACACATTAAGAAATTATACAAATTAGGAAATTATTAAAAAGAAATTATACAAAATCCATCTATGAATAGATTAGATGGTAAAAACCATATTATTTACCAAATGGTATCTGAAATCTGACCAACCCTAGCACAAAGTGAACCTGACTTCTTTTGAATGTTTATTGCCTGATAACTTTAAATTCCATAAGTATTTTTAAATGAGAAAATATTTTAATAGTTCAAGTTTATATTTAACGTAATTTGCCTTACATTTACAAAAAATTTTTTTCTTTTTTTTTAATTTGTGAATGAATAGATTGTTTACTCTTTATAAAAATTTTCTGTTTTATGTCTTTATTATAAAATTTTTTAAACTTTTGCAGACTTCTGTTTTGAAATTCTCTGAGGGAGAATTAATCTATGATTACTGCTGGTATCCATTAATGGCATCAAATGACCCAGCTTCCTGTTGGTAATGTTCCTATTCTCTTAAAATATGTTTTTTTTTACTTCTTCATCTTCATCATCTATGGCTCGACAGCCCAGGATGGCCTTCTAGGATAACCGTTCTCTTGCTAACATTTTTTAGTTTTTAAGACCAAAAGGTTTTTTTTCTAGGCCATCTATCCATCTCAATTTCGGCTGCCTCTTTTTCGTGTGCCAACTGGTCTGGCATTAAAAACTCTCTTTGTGGTACAGTCTTCGTCCATTCTAATAATGTGATTTGACCATTTTATTATTTGTCGTTTAATAAAGTTAGTAATGTCAGGTTCATTATATGAGTGATAAAGCTCTAGATTTGGTCTTCTGAGCCACACACCATTTTTTTCTTCTTAGAGTTGGTTTTAATCTGTTTTTTTTTTAAAAATACTATTTTTTGTTTCTAAATGTTTTTTTATTTTTATTGAAAAGGCATTATAAATATCACTGTTTATATTTTAATTGTTCTTTATATTTACCATTTGTTCACACAAAACACTAGAAAACAAGTTCATATTTCCATGTGATTAAAAAGCATATTGTAAAGAAGTATTATTGTGTGAGACATGATTATACAAAAACATTTGTATTCATATTTATAAAAAAACTTAAAGTTGAGTAAAAAATTATAATGTCTTAAAGTTGCTCCATGCGTATTTGTTTATAAAAGATTCGAAAACAAAATAATGTGCTTGTTAAATCTAATTAACAAATTTAATGAAGTCAAAATTAATGAAGATGAACAAAATTAAAATAGAAAATATTTATAAATAATTTTTTATTATTTAGCATGAAATCTTTTGTTTTTTTATATGCACTTAATAATAAAAAGTGTTTATATTTTGTTTGTGATTTAAGTGATTTAACTTAGTGAATTTATTTTGGAAATCATTCTGAGTACAACATATTTGCATTGACTACATTATCACTAACACCTACATGCGCAGACATATCAGCAACAAAGGGTAGAATCTATTCATTGGTTTGCATAGCAGCATCTTTTGATCACTTTCGTAGTACTCTTTTAAAGTTTCTTAATCATCTGTTCTCATGCTATGAAACTGAATCTCGACTATGTGTGTACCTATGGAGATATAATTCTTCACAATTGTTGCTTATTTGTTTGCAATTTTTGAAAATTTTGATCTAAAGAAAGATCTTATAAACTCTTTAAATGAAAATTGATGTTTCTTAAGGAGTCACAGATTGTCTTTTGTGATCCTTTAATAAATACATTTTCAAGAATTTTCTGAGAAATTACTCTTCAAATTCAAAATATGCTCATAACCTCAGAGTTTTATAAAAGATTTTTTTCATACATGAAACCAATCATTTTTTATTTTCAGGTTAATCCTTGAGATCTCTTTATTTAAGGATTAACTGTAAATTTGAACTTTTACTTAATACGAATAATTACTTAAATATATTTTTAGAATTAAACTTCAGAATTTTCTGCATGTATTGCTTTTATTCACCAACTTATTATTTTTAAATGCATTTTTTTGATGCTCTTGATCCACAGTCAAACCCATAATTGATGTAATGAATTATTTCTTTGTGCTAAGGAAAACTTTACATTCCCAGAGAATTTAATTTTAGTTAAAAAAAAAAAAAAAAAAGAGTAATGAAAATGAATATCACTTTTTTTGCCAAAAGTTTTAATTTTCTGTTTATCTAATTTTGCAACTATAACTTGTTGAAATAAAAAAAGTAAAAACAATGTTAGAATTTTTTTAAAAATTTTCTGTTTTAGAAGCTGCAAAATTAAAATGGAAAGTTAGAGAAAATTATGAAAATTTACTTTTTTCCTCCTTTAAGTTACCTTACTTGCAATTGCTACTGTTAAATTTCTTTCTTCTTTAAATTTTCTGCTTACCCAGTTTTGCAAATGTAATTTATCTAAATAGGAAATTAGTATAGTGTTTTAAAACATTCACAGTTTCATATTTCAATGTATGATTTTCTTGTGTATTTTCTTGCAGTTTTTTTTCTTCATCTTCCAATATTTTTTATATTTAGTTTTCTAAGTGTAATTTATCAAATAAGAAAAATTTGAACAATGTTTCAAAATCTCATAGTTTCTTTTCTTTTTTCTTTTTTTTAATTTCAACTACAGCAAGCAAACAAACAAAAAAATGCTAGAAATAATCAGAATGTTAACTATTGTTTTTCATTATGTTGCATTATTTAAATTAATTATTTAAATTCTAATGTTTCAATCTTTCCTTCAACTGGCTGCTTCTCTAGTTTTGTTAGCTGCTCAAGAAACAATACTGTGCATCTTTGGGATGCATTCACTGGTGACCTTCGATGCAGTTACAGAACATACAACCAATTGGTAATATGCCTGTCTAGTTTTTTTTATTTACAACTTCATTATGTTTTATTATTATTATTATTCATAGTTCATGCTGTTCATAGATCAATTGAAGCTGAGAAATATTGAAAACATTACTATATCAAAGTTTTTATTAAATAGTATTGCAGTTTGTTGGTAAAGTATTCAGGCTTCCATTGAATATTTGATTAGGTCAAGTTTCTGTGATTAGTATTCTGTAATTTCTATGATTCTTTTGTTATAATAAGCTCAAAATTGATTAATTATTTGTACAAAAAGGTACGGTGAAAACTCCATGAAAGACCACCTCTGGGTAGCGACTTCCTCTGTTTATGACCACTTTTGGGAGGCGCAGAAGTTTTTTCATAGACTTTGTGTAAAAGTAAACGTTTTGGAGAGACCATCTCAACCTCTTCCAGCGACCAGGCAAATTTCTGACTCAAATATAAAAAAGGTCAAATAATAAAACAAATAAGTAGATTAAAATGTATTTTGAGAGTTCTTTTTGACTATCTGTGAAGAGATCTCATGTTGCTGTCAGAGTGCTCTTAAGTTGATGCTATCGATGATTTATTTTTAGAGTTGAAAGTTAAATTTAAAGGGAAAGTTATTTTAGAAGATATTAAGCTTCTCAAATAAGCAAACCACTTGTTTTTTAAAGCTAACTAATTTTTATGATATAAAATTAAATGCAAACTTAAACAAAAAACATAATTGAACTATTTTTTTAAAATAGTTCCATCAATTGTAATTGGTAAATTTCATTTATGCACATAATTATATCACTAGGGATGATTTTTATTGGCGCTAAATTTTATTCATTGATCGGGTGTTTATGAAGCCAACACAAGTAGCATTAAAATTTCATTTATACACATAATTATATCACTAGGGATAATTTTTATTGGCTCTAAATTTTATTCATCAATTCGGCGTTCATGACGCCAACACAAGTAGCATTTATGCTCCACGAAAATAACACTGAGTAAAATTAGAATTGATTACAAAAATTCATGTACCTTCGATAAGATGTTGAAGTCAATGAAGGTAACCCCTAAGAACGACCAACCTTTATTAACGACCATTTTACTGTAGAACAGAGAGTGGTAACTACCGAGAGATTTCACTTTCGTAGTTTTATAATTTGGCATTTTAAAAATAGTTAATTAGTTCACCTCTGTACTACAAATTGGATTGTAAAGCATCAGAGGAAATGGTTATTCTATCAGAAATTAGTGAATTTCTTAAGTTAAATTATCTTAATGTGAAATTTACTTTGATGAATTGAAAGAAAAGAATTGGTTTAATTTTGAGAAAATTGGTTTAAATGTTTTTCATCTTTCGTTGTGAATAAGATGAAAAAAATTGGTTTCATTTTCTGTATAAAAACTTTTCATTTAGAAAAACAAAAACAGAATAAGCATGCTAAATATTAAGAAATTGATTGGCAAGAACGAAAAATTTAAACTAGGAATTGCATTATATTCTGCAGTTTTGTAGTTGATTTAATAATTTACAACACTGATGAAATGTTTAAAAAATTTTTTTTTTACATTCAGGAATGTAATGTAACTGTGGTTGTCTTACAGAATAATATACATTCTCCCTAAGTGTTTTTAGAAGCATGATCCGTCCTGCCTGCCCTTTGACCACTATAAATGAGTCTTCTTTGTCCTTTATGTAAAAATAAGCCACCCATCCCTTAAAAACTCTCTGCCTTTATATCCATATTCCATTTTTAAAACAATTCACTGTTTAAATAATAATCACACACCGGTAAAATTATCTGTGTTTATAGCTTTAATTCTGATTACTATTACAAATATTAACTTTGTTGGGATTATTCTCTTCTGGTTAAAGTTTTTAATGGTTTTAATTTTTAAAATTATTTTATTAAATAAATTTTTTTTCAAAGAAAAAAAAAGCAACTTTTTGAAGATTCATTTTCTTATAATTTTCAGTTTAAAATATATAAAAAATCTTTCAAGTTGTTTATCAATTATCATTTCTTTTTTAGTTTACTTTAAAAAAAAAAATTATGCCCAGAGATTATCTATTAGCCTGCCTTTAATTATTTTCATAATTTACAAATTGTTCTTTTATTCTGATAATGAGTTAGTATCATTTTTCGAAATGTACACATAAAATAGTATAAGAGGGTAATTTTAAAAAAAAAGAGGGTAACATAAAATATTATAAGAGGGTAATTGTTGAAGATAAAATGCAGTTATTACATAATATTACACATTTTGTTAAGTTTTTATGATGTTAAATGAGTGTCCTTTCAAAACTTAGTGTCCTTTTTTGACAGTCTGAGTTTTATTCCCTGGGAATACTGTGCAATATGATTTCATGGTTAGAAATATAGTAGACAAATAAATTTATGATATATATTTTGATTTTGTTTATTACACATAGTAACACGCAAATTGTAAAGTAAAGAATGTTTTATTGATTCTTTAATTTTTAGAATTTGTTCAAAAATATTGATGCTTGATCAATTTTATTATTTAATTTACACTTTGCACAGCTTAGAGTATATTGGTATAACATGGTATATAACATTCATTGATTTCTTGTCGAATTAATTTTTTGTTGAATATCTTGTATATTTTTTTAAACTCTATAAAAAATGGTTGTAACTGAAATTATACTTTTTCACAAAAATTTAGATTGGGTTAAATTCATTCACAAAAGTAACTTGCTAATAAAATTTATTACAAAACTGTGATAGAAATCCTACATGAACCACTTTAATATTTTAAATGCGATTAGTTTTATTTTATGTACACAGAAATGGGAGTAAACGTCTGAACATTGCACACGTTGTTTAGTTATAGACTTTATTTTAAAAAAATATAAGGCAAAATAGTGAATGACTGTCTTGTTGGAGGGAAATTGAATTTTAATTTAATTAATATTTTGTAAAATTTAAATAGTTTAATATTAATTACATATTTTAAAAAGTTTGTTCTTTTTCTATTTTCTAAATATAGTTTGTGTATCATAGAAATAATTTCAGGGTGACCACAGAACAAGAAAATCAATGAGAACAGGGAAATAGGACAGGGAACAGGAATGAGGGAAAAGTTGAGAAATTTTCTAGAGAAATTAAGAAACTGTCTTCTAAAAAGTTTGGGTGAAGAAATTAGTTAAAGTTTGAGGTACATGAAAGTCTATTATTTTTGTAAAAAATAATTCGTCTTCTAGTAATTTTAAATAGCAAGCTTACAAATGATGTTTTTACATTATTGTGTATATATATTATTATTTTACCACTTCTGTTTCCTTTGATTATTCATAACATGTTCACACTAATAAAACCATTTTTTTTGTAACCATCTTAATAAATACTAAGTGCTTAACTGTTCTGTTTTTTAATAAATAAACTTATTGTATTACAGTAATACTATTATACATGATTGTTTCGACTGATCTGTTTTAGTTGTTGAAATATTGATAAGTGCATATTAATTGTATAAAATGCATTTCAAACTTAAACTTTTTAAGTAATTGGAGAAATGATTTTTTTTAATTAAATGACTATTATAAAATAAAAGTAATGAACAATTATATATATGCCTACATTGATTTCACACCAGCAATCAAAATTTAGTAGTCCGATGATACCACCCAGGTATTCATTTAGTGGTTCAGAAACTTAATATGGTTGACAAACTTGAGAAGACAACAATTTACAATTACATAATTCAGTTATGGTACACATCGAAAATTATTAATTGTCATCTGTAACACCCTAAAACTAATTAGGTTCATTATCCCATAATGATTGATACTTATTAAAATAATAATAGTAAATAGATTCAATATAGAGATTAAAATATTGAGAGAAAATAAATAAATGAATGAGGAAAGCAGAGAAAGTAATAAGCTAATAAAATATTATATTAAAATTTAATTGTATAAAAATTATAAAATGTTTAATATTGTCAATTACAAAGGAGCATAACATATCTTATTAATGAACAATTATACAAAGCACAACATGTGTATTTCAAATTTCTACTTTTGAATTTAAATATTTTTGTACCAGAAACCTGCAGTTATTTAATTTAAATACCTTTTATTTGAGTTCCGTACCATGCATAGAACAATGAAATTGGTATAACAACTTTTTTTAATTGCATAGAATTGAATCAGAAGAACTATTTTCCGTTGCTATTTTGCAAATTTTCATGCTCCAAATTTGTCGCTCTTGCGTATGATTTTAGTGACGTTTGTAGAACATTTGCGTCAATTGTGATATATAGTGATTTGTGGGGCAAATGCGGAAAAAGGGCAATAATTAATTTAGCAATTAACTAATTTAATAAAAAACAAGTATAAAAATTAATATTGAAAACATCAATAGTTTGGAGTTGCTTACATTCATCATTACAAGACAAAGAATAACTAATTAGATAGTTTTAAATAATTAGATAACTAGTTAGATTAAAATCTATAAAAGTTAAAGGCCAGAAATTTTCCTTTGCTTTGCCATTGAATAAGGAAGTTGATGATTCCTTCAAGGATAATAGTTAAAGACTCTTTATTTGCAGATGCCGAATCTATTAATAGACCACACACACGCATATATATTATTATCACAATTGATTATGTTGAGATGAATGTCTTAATTATTTTTAAGTGTCATTTTGTTTGATTTTTATAGCTTTTCTCACACAGGATGAACTTACAACAGCTCGCAGCTTGAGTTTTGATGCTGATGGTGGTAGAATATTTTGTGGTTTCGATAAGATGGTACGTGTTTTTAATACTGATTTACCAGGAAGGAATTGTGAAGAAAGACCCACATTTGGTAAGATTAGTTTTACATCTAAAAGTTTGTTTTCTGGTGACTTTTGATTCGTTATTATTGTTGAGTCATAAACAACTTCTAATATTATCGGTTGCTCTTTTTCGAGTTTCAAGAGAACATACTTGCATAGACCAATATTAATTGTTTAAGAAAATTTTAAATTATGAATCTTTTTTTTTTCTTTCTCAAAATTTAATTTGCCTAGCTCTCAAAATTAAAAAATTTTCAAAGCTTTTTGTTTCGTTACAAATTGTATTTTTTAGTCAATGATTCATTATTCATACCTGCCAACTGTCCAGAATTTTTCGGATTTGTTCCTAATTTTTAAATCAAATCTGCAAATCTGATATTTTTTATAAAAAATCCAAATTTTCGTAAAATTGCAGTATATTTGCTTTTAAACCAATCCCTTGTTCTGATCGCCGCAATCGTGATTATTGTGCAGAAGTAATTTTTAGCAGCTTTGTATTCGAAAATACTATTCCAAAAGCTGTTGCTGATCATTTCATTAAATTGAATCTTAAACAACTATTATTATTTTTTAAAAAATGTATTGTAGTATTTAAACATTTGCATCAGAAATATTTGTTTATGATGTAGTTTAATATTTACCTGTGTTTTATAATTTTGAGAAGAATAATTATATATTAATAGGAAATGGTTGTTTCTTTAACTATTATACCGGTATTCCTAATTATAAAATATTAATATTATAAATTTCCCACAAAAGATAGTGTTTATAATTTTTTTTACTAATTTACATAAGTTATTTAAATATATGTCTATTAATGTTATTATTTTACAGTTAAATTTCTGTCTTACTCTCTCTCGTAATTGGTGCGTATAATTTTGTCGCATATAGTGTTCCTAATTTTTTATTTCTAAGGTTGGCAGCTATGATTATTGTGGTTACGCAGTTAAAATCGATGCAATTTTATAATGTTTTCCATTGTGACTCCTTATGCATAATTTGAGCATTGAAATAAAATCATAAGTGTTTTTTAAAAGAGAAAATGTACAGGGTGACAAAAAAATGGACTATCCTGAATAACTTTAGTTCTCATATCTGAATTTTCACGTTCTAGGACTCATTCTTAATGGTTCAAGGGGGTGACCTCAAATATGCTACTCAATTGGCCCAGACAATATTTTAAGTTAAACAAAATCAAACACAAATACGTGTTTTTTTGTATTTTTTTTGTTTGCAAAATAAACATACCTTTTATCGACATATTCCGATTTCTGACTTCTAAAATGAAGGGGGTAGCCACAATCTGGAAAATATGGTGCCCATAGTTTGGTCAGGTTGGATTGCTCTCCTTAATTTCCCTTAATGTTACTTTTTACGTATTTCGGCAGATCTCTAAAACTTTTAAACGAATTGAAAAATTTTTGCATCCAATTATATAATTCATTTATCCAGATAATTCCATACAAAAAATAAACTTTAGTAAATATTTATTATATTATGAATATTAACTAAAGTTTATTTTATGAAGTTTATTATACAGATATTATTTGTTATTATTTTATTAAATAATAGTTAAAATTTTTGTTAAATTTTCGTCAACAATTTCTGACATTATTTTCATGGCAAAATATGAAATCTGAGCAAAATCAGTTGAATAGTTCTTGAGAATATTGAATTTTAACAGTACGACTTTCGATTTCTCTGGAATTATTGACTGATTTCCCTCAAATTTTGTATTTTGTCGTATAAAATTACATATTTTAAAATGATGTAAAAAAGTGTGTATCTTACAATTGAATATTTTTGCATGAAGTTTTCTTAGGATAATTGAATATTCTAATTGTTTACAAAAAATATGTTCAACTTGCTTAAAAAGTTCTCGCGATATATTAAAATACGCATAAAGTAAAATTATCATTCAGGGGTCCAATAGTTAGGTCAGGGGATAGCTCTCCTGACCTAACTATTGGGACCATATTTCCCAGATATCCGCTACCCCTATATTTTGAAGGTCAAAAATCCGAATCTGTTGAAAAAACGGCATGTTTATTCGGAGAAAGTACGTTTTTGTGTCTGATTTCGTATTTTAAAATATTGTCTGCATGAATTAAGTAGCATATTTCAGGTCACTTCTATGAACTATTAAGATCAAGTGCTGAAATGTGAATATCAGATCATTAGATCTAAAGTTACAATAGCTGTTATTATTATTATAGCTGTTGCACTGTATTATCATAATTATACATACTTTTGTACTTTTTTGCTTCAACTTAGTTCTTCACATTCACACTCAACTTTTGTTTTCAACTTGTTTATTAAGTTAATTGTTAAGTATTTAATTTTATTCTAAATTAAATTGTATAATCTTATTGATTACTTATAAAGGTCATGTTTTTCTGGTATTGAACTAGCTTTTATTGAAGTTTTTAAATTAAATTTCTTTTTGTAACATTTGTTTAAAATTTGTAGCATTTTTTTTTCTGCAACAAAAAATATTAATTTTTTTTTATCAAGGATATAAATAGGCTTTATTTGTATCATACTCCACTGATTTAAAAATAAAATGAAATCAATTTTCAGATTCAATGAAGTTACCTATAAAACTGTAGTTTTTTCTGCTATCTTTCAGAAAGAACTACAAATCTGATCAAATAGGCAAAACAAAATCAAGATATATTTTAATGATCTGTATTCAAATAGGGCCTTTCATATAATTACACTTACCAAATATACATAACTTCATATCAAACAATGTTTTGATACCAAAGTTATCAAAAAAAATTTATTTTGCTTATTAAGAAGAAACAGAATACTGCCCCTATGAAAAAAGATTCAAGTTTTTTCTTGTTGTGTCTCTAGCATTTTCTTCCTGTTATGCAGCACGAAACGTTTTTTGAGAAAAACTAAGATAAAATTCAGTCCAGTGGCCTCAAAATTTATAATTTATCTTCAAATTTAGTCGAGGAAGATTTTTGCTTCAAACCTTAAAAAGTTTTTAGTAATTGATAAACTCATTTCAATAACAATGACCCTCATTTTATGATAGAGAAATGATGAGTTCAAATTTTATACTAAAAAGATCCATTTTAAGGACGAAAAAAAATTTGTAAGGTTTTATTTAATTTTGTTAAATAGAGTAATTTTTTTTATAATTAAATATTTCTCAAAAATTCTAAAGCTTCATATATATATACATATATATATATATAAAATTTATTAAAATATTTTAATTGTTGCCCATTTCAGTGAAAAAGAGTGGACAAAGTGGTATCATATCGTGTTTTGCCTTTTCTTCTGCCAATAAAAATATTTCTGCTGCCGGATCTTACAGAAGAACAAGTAAGGCCAAATACTAGTTTTTTCCCACCTTTATTATTCAGTAAGATATCAGTTATTGGGAAATTTTGTTGATTATTATTGATTTTGGGAGCAGCATACTTGTTCTAATGTATATATATATATCTTTATATAATATAGATAAGTTCATATATATATATAAGTTCAANTCTCATCAGAAATCTATAACGTTCCCGAACGCTGCTCAAAAATATCGTTTAAAAAATTCGCTCCAGAATTGGAAGTTGCGAAATTGATTCCAACATTCCTATATATATATATATAAGTACAAAATGAAGATAAAACAAAGGAAAATTGCAGATTAATGAAAAAAGGGGGAAAAAGAAAATTAATAATAAAAATAACAACAGAAAAAAAATCCGAAAAAAAGGATAGAAATCTTTTAAAAAATCCGGAAAATAAAAGATAATCTTTTCATCAGCCCACACGATTATATCCGCATGTGTCTTTTGTTTTCCGGATTTTTTAAAAGAATTCGATCCTTTTTTTTCGGATTTTATTTTACTCCCATTTTTCGTTATTTTTATTAATTGACTTTTCCCCTCTTTTTTCATTAATCTGTAATTTTCCTTTGTTTTATCTTCATTTTGTACTTATTTTATGAGTTCTATTTATTTGCAGCTTATACGCAATAAATGAAACTTATTGTTTTTCTTAATTTTCTTCGTGTTTTTTTGTTTTTATTTATTATGTTTGTTTATATATATATATATCTGTGTGTGACAAGCAAAACAACCATTGTGTCAGAAAACCAACAAAGGCTTATAGATGTCCCTCCCTCTGTAATTAAGCTGTTAGAAGTATTTCGATGTAAAGGAAGAGTCAGTTAGAAATGTAAAAGCAAACCTGTGTTGTACAAAAATGAGTCTCATGTGTAACTCATGTCTAAGTGAACTTATGTTAAATATTAAATGATAAGTATCATCCTTATTGGTTTTTCCATTGTCTTAATTNTTTTATATATCTGTGTGTGACAAACAAAACAACCATTGTGTAAGAAAACCAACAAAGGCTTATAGATGTCGCTCCCTCTGTAATTAAGCTGTTAGAAGTATTTCGATGTAAAGGAAGAGTCAGTTAGAAATGTTAAAGCAAACCTGTGTGGTACAAAAATCATGTCTAAATGAACTTTTGTTAAATATTAAATGATAAGTATCATCCTTATTGGTTTTTCCATTGTCTTAATTTAATGGTTATCCTACATATATGTATGTATATATATATCAGGGGTCTGTCCAGACATTTTGTGAAGGGTCCGTTTTTTGTGAAATTGTGAAAAAATTATTCACATTCTTTCAACCAGGGTCCGTTTTTTTGAATTTGTGCAAATAGGGTCCGTTATTGCAAAAAAAAAAAAAACTTTTTCAAGGAGTTTTTAAATTCTAAAGATATACAAGATTATGCTCAACACTGTAAAATTATAATTAAAAAAAATAATAAATTTTTAAAAATAAACAGCAATTTATGCTTCTAAACTAGAGATGCAACATATAAATATTTGGTATTTAGCCTATACTGCTGAATGCAGAATATTCATTTCGGACGGAATAATGGAAGATAAATAATGGAATCAATAATGGAAGAATAGTCTGCCGAAGACAAAATTTAGTTCGTTTACATCCATCTTTCTTGTTTTCTGCCCTGGAAAGGGTTTATTCGATTAACAAAATAATAATGAAGATAAACAAATTTGTGAAGGGTCCGATTAAAAAAAAATCATTTTGTGAAGGGTCCGTTTATAAGTTAAAATATTTTGTGAAGGGTCCGTTTTTATGAAAAGATATTTTGTGAAGGGTCCGTTCAGACCCCTGTATATATATATATATATATATTGGACATAGAATTTAATGTCTTTCTTTTATCTCCTTTAAACAGTTGGTATATATTCCGAACCCGATGGCTCACTGGAATGTATTTTAGAAGGTCAAAAAGGGGGAGTTACCCATTTACAATTTTCACCTGATGGCAATCTTCTATACAGCGGAGGAAGAAAAGTAAAGAAAATTTTTTTACATTTTGTTAATTAATATCCATTACATTATTTTTTTTTATATAATTAATCAATATCTGTCCAATTTGAATTAAGATGTGATATCAGAATATTTTTGTCATATTGCATTCGTGTGCCATAGAATCATACAAGTGCAATTTCTTATGTTTTAAATTCTGTTAGTTTTATATGTTGCAGTGATTAATAGAAGTAGATTCTTTTCCATATCTGTTTTTGCTCCCAATTCAATTATCCTTGTTTCATTTATCCCTTAACTTAGTTTTAAGAAATTTAGAACTTTCTCTTAGTTAGTTTTTCATATCATTGTCTAATATGAGAGCAATCAACTAATTAGCAATTTTTATACCTAATATGGAATTTTAGTTTCTTCAGATTTCAGGTCCTATCTTATTATTTCATTTAATGATGATTGTACTAAATTAAAAATTAAATGTTGAAATCTTGCTTTTAATTTAATTTTAACAAGAAAATTTATAGCAAAAAGGATTTTTTGCAAGTGAGGATATATATATATGACGTTTGGCTATTAAGTATCATGGCTGAAGAACTATGCTGTGCAAACATGAACATCCAATAGCTCTATAGCTTGAATCTTTCTCTTTGAAATGTGCGCCTCCTATGTCTGTAAAGAAATAAGTATTAAAGAGCTGTTGTTTGAAAGATGAAAGTGTAGCAGTAGAGCAACTGATCATCATGATATTTATCTTGGAACTAGGAAAAAAAAGGGTTGCCCTATTACAAAAATACATGTCAATGATAGTTTTATACGTGAATGAGTTTTTGAGTTGTATAAGTGTTTCCAAAATGGTCAAAAAGATGTTGAAGATAATTCACATAATAATTTGTCTTTTCCTATCAAAAATGGATTAAAATATTAAAAAGTCGGTAATCTGGTGCAGCAAATAAAAATTGCTTTATATGGTTAGTAAATCTAGAAAAATCTTGGTCCAATATTTTCTTTTTGAATATTTTTTTCTTTTCCAGTTTTAGTTGAAAATTTCTAGTTAAAAAGTTAGATTATAATCTTTTTTTGTATGTTGATTGAGTCTAATACCTATACCTGCACACTTTTTAGAGTAATAACATGTTATTCTACATCATGAAAATCTTAAATGTTTTATTTATTTACTTTAGTTTGTTAATTGATTTTAATATTGATATTCATACACTTTTTTTTCAATTTGGAAATTCTATATTAATACATAAAATAGTTTGGTATTTTGATAATTCATTTTAATTCTAATGTCTGCTAACTTTTTTTCTTGATGATTGAAATATCCTATTTATTTAGAAGAATTGTTATTTTATTAATTGATTTTAATCTTACTATCGATGTATTTTTTCCTAAGAATACTGAAAATTATTTTATGTTCATAAAATACTGTGAAATATCTTATTACATTAATTTTGAATTGTTAAATGAATTGAATTTTGATTTTATTAATTTAATTTGTTAATCAATTTACTTCATTAATGATACTTTTTTCTCAGGATAATGAAATTTTATGTTGGGATTTGAGAAATTTGGGTGAAGTCTTATTTTGCATGAAAAGATATTGTACCACCAATCAAAGAATGTATTTTGATATTAGCAGGTACCTTTATTCTTACAAAACTAAAATAAATACAAGCTTTTTAGTTATAGAATATATTTTGTACATTTTATCTTGTACATTATATATATATATA